AATATTCTAGCGATAGTGTTTCGGAACCAGACTCACTTCCGAACATTATAATAGAGCGAGTATTCCCATTCGTAGAAATCGACCAGAGCCTGCTAGGGAACAGTATTAGAAGCGCGCAACGAGAACCATCATTGATTTCATACGAGTCAATTGTTCGCACGCGCGACTTCCGCACCGAGCGTAATGGCAACATACCAACCTCAGACGCCGCGAGGTGAGGGCAGCGCGTGGAACGGTGACACCGCGGATAACCTCCAGGTAACTAGCGGGGAAGTAAATAGAGAAATAGGACGTCTTAGGGAAGCCGTGGGCGAACCACGTGTAACACCGACTAGAAGTAGGCAGGAAGAAATTCTAGATCGACTAGTAGACGCTATCACCGGGTTACAGGACAGAGTAAGCCGAATGGAAATTATAAATTGCGACCGCGAAAATTTTCGGCTCGTCAGACCCGACGATGGACCAGAAGAACTTCATGTGACGTACGGACGTGACTTAAACGACGTACGCGAATTGAGAGACCGACCGACGGGTTATTTAAGATTGAAAGACGCTCGACGTTTAATACCCGAAATCGACGGATCTATATGGAATAAAACGCAGGAATTCATAACTGCCAGTACTTATGCGATGGACAAAATCATCTACGCGGAACGCTCAGCTCTACTAGAAGAAATATTGAATACCAAACTCAAAGGAAAATTATTACTGGATTTTCAAACGCGCAGCATGCAAAGTTTCGAGCAGCTACGGCGCGAAATCGAAATAAATTATCTAGGGAAACGTGGAACATCGCATTTACAATTCGAGTTTAATGCGTTAAAACAGAAACCACAAGAGAGCGCGCATACTTACGGACGGCGCGTGGACCAGTTAGCTATGGAGCTATACAAGTCGTTAATAGAAAAAAGAGAGCACACGAGTGAGCAAAAGCGAGCGATACTCGAAACAATACAGGACCAAGCGCTATTAAATTTCGAACTAGGATTGCGCGAGGATATTAAGATGATAGTTCGATCGCAAAAATATTCGACTCTGCAGGAGGCAATTAACGCCGCGAGCGCGGAGGAAAGAGTCAAGGGACATTCCTCAAAACCGCATTTCGGGAATCGTTATACCAACGGGCCCAGTCAAACTGTAAACATACAATGTAACAAGTGTGGAAAGACGGGTCACCGCGGACAAGAATGCCGAACGAGCCGC